ATCATTCCCCATGTACAAAATTGGCCCATCTTCTATGTAACATCCCCAAATCTCCCTCTACGAAAATACTAGTATAATACGTATGATTATACCGTAGAGATAGATTTAGGCGTATTACTGCCGCGTGATTACGCAAGGCTACTCAAAATACTTAACTCAATAACAAACTTGTAGAGGAAAACTCAACTCTTCTTTTATTAATACTTATAAAATAGTAATAACCATTGCCATGAGTAATCAAAAATAGAAACAATGACCAACATTCCAAACTAGGGAAGAATATCCTGGGACTCCCAAATGCTCATTTATTGACTCCACCTGAAAATAGTCAACACTGCTTACCATTAAGGTAAATAAGGCGAACCAAAACAAATAGGAAATACGAATTAGCAAAATATGCTAAGTACGATAAGTGCAAGATAAGTATATTCAATTTATTTGCAAACATGATTTTAAAACCAATCATGAAATTCCAATAATTAATTCAATAACTCAAACTTCATAATTCAAAACCAATTCTCAAAATTCTCAAAACAATTCCAATTATTCAATAATAATTTGAATGAAAATTCAAGTGATAAAAACCAATTCCTTTTTAAAAACCCAATTCCTCTCTTAAGTGTGCACACCCCCCAAGCTAGTATCTTTATATTGAAAGGCTATTCTTGAGAAAAGACTAGGTCATACAAAGTCCACAATCTTCAATGAATCCGTATAGTGGGATCAATATAATAATTATGCTTGTAAAGCTTTTAATAAATAATTCATCAATAATTCTCATGAAATCCCTCTTTTGAATAAAACCAAACTTTATAATAGAATAACTCAAAAACTCCTTTTGTATTTAATTCAACAAGCTTTTAAAATCAAACCTTATTAAAAACTGTTTAAATAAATCCAACATGCATTTAAAAACCAAATTCCCTTAAACATTATAAATAATTTCAAACCATTCAAAACAAGATAGAAATCCATTCTTAAACATATTTATTAAAACATGAATTCTCAAGGTTAATTTATAAATCATAATTCAAAACAATTTAATTAAAATCACACCAACATGCTTATTAATTCAACAATTTCGAAGGTATCTAGTCACCTAAATGTACCTTAATTCCGAATCTCAATCAACACTTCGCACTTTCAAAGTTCAATAACAAATACACCTTGCAATTAACATAACCATAAGGTTATCACAACATCCTTAGACATAAACCCATATCTAATGTGCATGGACTATAAAACTCTTTTAAAAAAAAAAATATTTTAATATAAAATTATAGAATTGAAATAGGTATTTATATTTTAAAAAACTAACCATGAAGAAAATAAAGGAATAGGATTAGAGATAATTGAATTTGCGTTGAAAAGAATAGACAGAACTTGCAAAGGCTATAACTCCTTCAATATAACTCCGAATTGAGTGATTCTTGAGCCTAACCTCAAGGATTTTTTGAGAGGAACATTTTTTTGTGAAATAAAAAAACCCCAAAACTGACAATAAGTGCTCTAAAATTGGCTCTAAAGATATATAGGTTGATTTTCTCTTAGAAAAGAGGAAAAGAAAAGTAGGAAAAGGTTGAGGGAAAAGAAGAGTAAGAGAGAAGAAGAAAATTGAGTTTTGGTGTGAAGAATGTGAGAGGTATGAAGGGGTATTTATAGGCTCATGAATGAAACAATTAAGGTAAGACTTTGTAGGAAAAATTATGGTAAATATAGTTTAAGGAATTACTTGAAAAAAAGAGTTTAAGAATTAAGGAAGGTTTAGTTTATGGTGATTAAGAAATCAAGAATTAAGGTAAGTAGCTTGATCATGAAATGTAACATGGCAAGTGAGATTGCTTGGAGAATAATCAAAAAGGATTTAAGGCAATTAAATTGTATGATCAAATCTTTGTGAGATGGAAAATAGGAATTAAGGAAATTTAAAGAAGATAATTAAAATACAAAACTACCAAAATAATTAAACCAATATTAGCATAAGGTGGCCAAAAATATTGAGCCTATTCATGCTCATATTTTCGGACCTCATTGCTTAGTTTTAGGAAATATTTTGCTAGATTTTAAGGACTAAAAATGATTGTGTAAATAATATATTTTGAAGAAAATAATTAATTAGAAAAATACCAACTTTAAACTAATTAATTAATCATGAAAATCAGATTTTCTATGCCTAGAAAATCAGAAATTCCTAGCTTAATTCAATAGATTTTCGGCCCTTTTAAAATAAATAAACTAATTAATTAATCATGAAAATCAGATTTTCTATGCCTAGAAAATCAGAAATTCCTAGCTTAATTCAATAGATTTTCGGCCCTTTTAAAATAAATAAGAAAGATATAATTTTTGCTTAATTAAAATATCCGATATACATACATACATATATATATATATATATATATATATATATATATACACATATATACATATATATATGTATATACATATATATATGTATATATGTATATATATATGTATATATGTATATATATATATATATATATATGTATATATATGTACGGTTTTTGAAATAAAAAAAATGGATAATAAATCTTATCTAAAATCCAAAATAATAATTAAGTTTTAAAAATGTTTTTGGCGCCAAAATTCAAATATCATTTTGGCTCCAAAATTCAAATAGAAAATAATTTACTGAAATACCCTTTTAATAATTAATTAATTAGAAAATATGTCTCAAAATATGGGGTATTGCATTCTACTTCTTGATAAGTCTTGAAGAAATGCCGACTTTTGCACACATGTGTAGATGCTCCCAAATCTATCCACCAAGAATCATCATCCTGCACAACATTGATTTCAGAAATCATAGCCACAAAATTCATTTCTAAATTTTTAGACTCATGTTGAACATTACCTTGGACTTGGTCAACATTTTGTTAACTTTGGCTACTTGCCTTCTTCTTTTTCCAAGAGGGGCAATCCCTTAAAGTGAGGACTGCCACACACCTAACAAGTTCCGGATTTACCTTTCTTTTCCTTCTTGTTGTTTGATTTTTTAGTAGACTTGAAAGAGCGCTTATTAGACTTTTTATTATTAGTCCCACTTGCTTGTCCTTCCTCCATCATATTGATGGTAGAAGCCGGAGTACCATTTTCTCTGGTCTCCTTATTTCCATCTTGCAATCGAATACCCTCCTCAATAGGAAGATGAGCACCCAATTGTTCAAGAGACATATCCTCTTTTTTTAGTGCTTTAAGGAATTTCTAGTCCCTTTCCAAGATAAGGGTAATTTTTCAATTATGAATGCAACCGCAATAGCTTCATCCATAATCATGTTATACTATCTTATTTGGCCAAAGATTCGTTGAACCTCATGGAATTGCTTCATGAATGGCCTACTATCAACCATTTTATAGTTATTAAATCTACTTACAAGAAATATCTTACTTAAAGCATCTTCGGCCGAGTACTTTGATTCAAGAGTATCCCAAAGTTCCTTTGCACTCTCCACATTTTGATAGATATCAAACAAGGTGTCCGTCATTGCATTCAAAATGTGTCCACGACAAATATAGTCATCATTTTCCCACTTGATCCTCCGACGAGTAGTCTCCAAAGGTTCCTCCTCTCCTTCCGTCGGAAGTGGTGGCATGGGGGTGCTAAGAACATAAACAACATTCAAAGTAGTCAATAGGAAGTGGATTTTCTTTTGCCAACGACGATACCCCACACCCTCAAACTTGTAAGTTTTTGAAAATTGGTAGCCATCTCCTTCACCAAAGAATCCACATCCAAAGGTATAAATTACTATTAGATTGTTAGGAAATTATAGTGGGGTGAACCGGATATGTTCTTCTAGGCACGTAACTGAATGTCGCTTTTCTAATAGTAATTTACCGACCCCACTTTAGAACAACGGAGTTAACACGGTAATAATATTGAGATACAAAAGAAGACCAACTAGGCTTGGTTGTTCTTACAAGGCAGTCTAACAATAGTTTGTGTTTATTACAAATCTCTTAGAAGAAAATTCGAGAATAACTTATAAGAGAGAAGCAAGAGAATGACATACTTTTTATGACATGAATTTCACAAATGCGGCATTCTCTTTTTATAGAGAATTAAACATACTTGAACATACGTTTCCAAGAAACATGCATGTCTTTAACATCCAAGTCTTTAATATCAATTAAAAGTTATGTTTCCAAGAAACAACTTTTAATACCCTGTTAAAAGTTATGTTTCTTTGACATAACTTTTAATACATAAAAGTTTAACATCAAAAGACATCAATATACTCAAGCTACACAACTTGTATCTTAACAAGTATATTAGATAATTATACTATGTCGTTTAACTACACAACACCGAACGACATAAACATGTGAAATACTTATAAGCACATTTATTACATAAATGTTCCAACAATCTTATTATCTAGGAACTGGTACTTTGATTTATAGTGTGGTATACAATTAAAAAAATATTTACATATAACTCCATATGGTTACAATGCATCCTCTTTCGCTTTGAGCCTTAGATAAGATGATCTAATATGATTTCATTATGGCTTAGCTTAATATCTGGTGTATAGTTCGGTTTGATTATCAAAGTCTATATATTATTATGTGATGGCAACACTGGCGGATTAGAACAAACATGGGTCCGGTGACTCGTCTTTAGGTTTACTAGTTGTGAATTCTGAAGGTTTAAGAGCGCTATAATTGGAACTTTCAAGTCAGGAAATTGTGGAATGTGTTTAAAGGATATATGTATGCAATGAGCAAGCGATCAATCCTTCGCAGTAATTGTATTCAATTGGCGGCTTCATTAGAAACTCTGTACCTGTGTATATATCTAAGATAACTCTACCTGTATCATTATAGCTGAAGTGCTGAACTATAAATCACAGCGGTTATTCGCCACAACTGGTGTTTGATTGTAGCTAGTAGCTCTGTAGCTGATGGCATGTATCAATCGGATTGTAAACTTATCATTATGTGAACTTTCCGTTTTGCAACTTACAAGTTCAAAATGGTTACAAGGTGAAAAAAATCATTTTATTACAGCATGCATATTATAAAGATCAGTTGTCCAATTTTATACAATTTCATTATGTATCATTTGGGACTTCAAATCTCATGAATTTTATGTCCTCAATAAGACGATGTAAAGCTAGCCACGACGACCCACCTTCCCTCACAGCTTGAGCTGCCGACTTGGACAATCGATTTGCCCTTTGTGAAAACTCATTTCTTCTCCCCTCCATAAGATCCCTCACCATAACCTCAATCACAACCCTGTCACAGATATCTTTCATGTCGATTCCAATCTTCCACACGTCCCCAACAAACCTACTAATCACCAGTTGATCGATACCATTAGGCCAACAAAGCATAGGCACTCCTTCCACTATGCTCTCCAGAGTAGAGTTCCACCCGCTATGAGTCAAAAACCCACCAACGGCTCCATGCGCCAAGACCTCTTCCTGTGGGACCCACTTTACAATGAAGCCCCTGTCTCGTGTTCCTTTCAGAAGTTCTGTTGGGACTTGTAAGGAACTATCTTCACTGTCTTCGATTCCAACTAGTGAGTCAGGCCGCCTAACCCACAGGAATCGCGTCCCACTATTCACTAGGCCATACCAAAACTCAATGAGCTGATCCATTGTCAAAGGAACCACACTCCCAAAGCTAACAAAAATCACTGATTCTGAGGGTTGGGCATCAAGCCATGTTATGCAGCTTCTATCTTCTTGCCATAAACTGTTGGATGTCACTCGTTGTTCAGATTCTGGCTGTCTAGTCCTAGAGTGCAGGTGGACTGGACCAATTGTGTAAAGGTTAGGACAAAGAGAACGGAGTTTATCAAGTAGAGTTCCTTCTAGGTCATCAAAAGTGTTAAGTATATGTCCTTGAGCCTTTGGCAATTTTCGGCACTCTTCAAGTACTAGTTGGATGTAAGGGTTTGTAATGTCTTGAGTTCGGCATATACCTGGAAGGTCACACCACCTTAAGGCGGTCCCTTCTACCCCTGGAATGTCACTTATTGGCTCATTCAGGTCCTTTCCTACATATTGAAGCAACAATCAGTCATAATGAGCGCGATTAACTTATGGACTCGTTCAATCAAAACGAGGACAAATTGAATAAGTTGATGCTTGAGCTAGCCTGTGCAAACTAGATCTACAATCTACAAATCCTGCATTCCCTAATCTACAGTTTTCTTTGAAGCAACTGTCATAGTTTCATGTCTTAATCACAATGAAATCTGATGAAGATACAATCTAATTTAACCAACCATTTGTAACTAGAAGTGGCTAGTCTAGTCAACTACTCGACTTGGTTGTTAACCTAGCTTGGCTTAGCCCTTAATCAGTCCAAGGCAAACCCTTCCGGATATATAAATATATTAGTATCATTTTTTATTTTTTTTATTTTTTTTACCTTTAGTTCCTTTCCTTTATTCATTTCTCTCATAGTCTCATCTCAAGCTTGGAAATACCAATATTACTACTTTACGAGTATTAATTTCAAAATGACTATATGCAGTTTTTTTTTTTTCTTTTTTTTTTTATGCAAAGGCTGTATGCAGTATATACTTTTTTCATTTTTATTTATTTGCAAATACACCATTTTAGTATGCACTCTAAAAAATATACTTTGTATTAGACTACATACATTGACAAATTTAAAAAAAAAAAATCTTACCACCAATAAAAAGAAAGTGTTAAGTTATTACTGTTCAAATTTTATACTACCCCCATTTATTACGTGGAACTAAAGGGTATTATTTGTGGGACACAAAATATTTTTTTTGTTGCACATAATAAGAAACAAAGGTACTTAATTCATCCATTTCCCTTTTTTAATAATGTCCTCCTTACAAGAGAAAATAGTATATGAACAATTGTATAAATTTAAATAAAAATAAAATAAAAAAAATAAAAAATCTAAGATAATAAAATATTGTAAATAAATCTAAGTTTGTATGATTATACCTTTTTTGAAAGGAACTTCCCCAGAATCAAAAAGCTTAGGAACAAAAAAGCAACTAGCCCAAATACAACAAGGACTTAACGTCGAGAAATAAACCACCGGAATCCCCAACTCCATCGCTCTCTCACCCACCGCAGTAAACACCCCGTCGGCGATCAAGCACGTCGCCGGCGCCGGAGATTTCAGAAACTCCGGCAAACTTCGGATGACCTCGGCTTCATAGAAGCTAACCATGGAGGCAAACTTCGCCGGAGGCCGGGGATCGTCGCCGGAGATTCCATCGGAAAAAAGGGAAAATTTGACACGAGGAAAGCGAGACGGGAGGTCGGGGAGACGTTGGTGGACGAAGGCGGCGTTGAGGAAAGTGATGTTGAGGTGGTCAGAGGAGAGAGAAAGGAGGTGAGCTAGCTTTAAGAAGCAGTTTATAGGGCCTTGTAGTGGTAAGGGAAGTAGTAGCACTGATGGTTGTTGGTGTTGCTGAGGTTCTCGTTGACTTCTCATGGTTACACGAGAGTTCGGAGTTCCACTCGTGAGAAAGGCGTACTTACTTTAGAAAGAAATTTGACAACACAGAGTCTACGAAAGTTTGTATGGAAGTGATGGAATTAATCCTAATATCCCTTTTGTCTTTTCTTTAGAAAGAGATTTGATCGCATGACAATATGGAGTAGATGGTTTAAACACTGATCCAATCGATCCGACTCGAAATCGATTTGAAAAAAATTTGATTCCGATTTCAATTTGTATGAACACAATAATTTAGCATGACTCAAATTTGAAATACACACGATCAAACCTCACCGAACATGGCCAAATTACCTGAATTGATACCTCTAATAGTGAAACGCTAAACATCGCCCGCAATTTACCATATAAAGCCCACAAATATGATATGGTTTGACCATTATGCCCTTTTTCTAAAATTGAAATAATCTCGGTGTAAAAAATGTGGAGCCGTACTGGCTCGCCGGGGGAGACCGGAGGGCAGGCCGGAGATGCGGGGGACGCCGGAGGTACGTCGTCGTCGACGAAAAACGAGGTAAGTCACCGTTAAAATTCACGGTTTACCGTCGGAGTGGCTCCGGCGCCTGGGGTGGACGCCCAAGCCGTAGCCTGGACGTCCAAGCCAGACGTCAGAACCACCAGAGTGGCGTCCAGCCCAGACGCCCAGACCACCAGACTGGCGTCCTGGGCAGGCGCCACTCCACTGGGTGAGGCGGCCTTGCCAGGCGCCAGTCCAGTGGCTGTGGCAGCCCTGGCAGACGCCACCTTTAATAATTAATTTTTTTTTTCTTTTTTGATTTTGTTGTTGTTTTTTATTTAATTTTTTTAAAAAAAAAAATCGAAAATGATTTTTTAAAAAAATTCGAAATGGGTTTTTTTAAAATTAAATTTGAAAATTCGAAATAGGTTTTTTTAAAATTAAATTTGAAAATTCGAAATGGTATATTTTTAAATTTAGTTTGAAAATTCGAATTGGGTTTTTATAAAAATTAAGTTTGATTATATATAATTATGCTTTTTTTTGTGTTAATTCTGTGTAAATATAGAAATTAAATGTATTATCCGTTAAATGTATTTATTGTAATATATAATTGATGCAGGAATATGGTGGAGACGGAAATGATTACAGTGGGATATTTGGACATGATGGTCCATTCGAAGAAGCTCAACAGGCGATTGATTGGGCAAAACAGGTTGCAATTGCAGCTGGATTTTGCTTGGTAGTAGTAACTCATAAATCTCAACGGGATGGTAGAATGGATCGCATTTTGAGATGTGACCGTTATCACAAAAGAGAAGAAAGAGATTTTCGTACAGCCACTCGGTTTGATACAAAGCGGAAAGGTTGTGGGTGTGAGTTCAGAGTAAAGGTTCGACAACTACGGAGTCGTGACAGTTGGGAAGTGATTGGTTACTCTAAATGGGGGTATCACAACCATGAGATGATAGTATATGAAGAGGGTCATCGACAACTGAGCGGCTTAAGTCCTGCTGCGAAACTAGTTGTGAAAGAAATGAGTGATGCTCAAGTGAAGCCTGCTAAAATATTAGCATCTGTGTTAGAGAAATTTCCAGAAGACCATCCAAACCGAAGACACATCTACAACGTCAGACAGCAACTCAGGTTTGAACGGTCAGAGGGAAGGAACCCTATACAGCAGCTGCTACACCAGGCACAATCACGTGGTTACCTGTTCTGGTTTGATTCTGATGAAGATACAGCGGAGGTGACTCATCTTTTCCTTGTGCATCCTGATTGTGCTGATATGATCAAGTCTTGGCCATTTGTGATTTTGATCGACTTAACGTACAAGACAAACAAGTACAAGTTCCCACTGGTTGAGATGGTTGGGATGGCTCCAACGAACCAGAACTTTCTGATTGGTCATGCAATCATCAGGGATGAGACGGCTCCAAGTTATTATTGGGTGTTGGAGAAGCTGAGAAACTACATCAGGCCTAATGTTCATCCAGCAGCCATCGTCAGCGACTGTGAGGGAGGTCTCTTTGCCCCCATAGTAGAGCTGTTTCCCGAATCGAACCACTTATTGTGCACATGGCACATCAACAACTGCGTGAAAGTGAAAGCCTACAACCTTTTCAAGAAGAATTTGGAAATGGCAGAGAGATTGGTGAATGGTAAGTGGCGGAAGATCCTACAGGCTACTTCAGGGATTCGTACCAGTGGTGTCCGGCACTGGTGGACTATGTGATGCATCAATGGGTCCCTCACAGGGAAAAGTTTGTCAAATATTGGACAAACCAGGTACTTCATTTTGGGAACACTACAACATGTAGAGTTGAGAGCGCTCATAGAGCTACCAAGGACTGGATTGATTCATCGACCGCTGCTTTGGATACACTGTTCGCTAGACTGAACAAGTCAATTGAAACTCAGAAGAACGACATCAGGAACTCTCTAGAGGACTCCCGTCAACAGGCCCACCGGGCACCTCACTCCTAACAACCCAAGAATCATTACCGGCCCTCGACCGTTTCCTGCTTGCCCTAGATACAGTGGACGCAGATGATGTGCCAGATCTACTAACAAACCTACCACCCCTACCCTTACGCACCTCCACCATATGCGTCTCGTACATGTCATCAACCCTCTGACTGAATGGACCGTAATCATCATACGGTCCACTGCCATCGTCCACATCCTCATCCTCATTTGCGCCCTCCTCCTGCTCCTCATCCTGGTCACCCTCCTCAGCATCATCATCGTCATCGTCATCCTCATCCCGACGGTGGATCCGTTCTCTACGAACTGAGGCCGAAATACCACGGGATCTGACATGTCTATGCCCCGACCTCTCCACTGAATAACTTCTACTAAGAAGCTCTATATTCTTCCCCGCACCATGACGACCCAGTGAATTCTACACAAAATTTTAAAATATATAAACATACAAAAATTTATACGATAAATAATCATCATCGCAAATCAAATAAACTAAAAACATACAAATAATTGTAAACAAAATATAAACGTAGAAAAAATACAACGAAATTGAAAAAATTTATAAAAATAAACAACAAAATATAAAAACAATTCAAAAATATATTACACAAAAAAAAAAAAAAAATTAAAAACAATTTTTTTTTTAAAAAAAAAAAAAAAAAAGGGGGGGGGGGGCGCCCTGGCTGGACGCCCAGCCAGCGGTGGTGGCGCCAGCTGCAGACGCCGCCACCAGTTGGCTGGCGCCTGGGCTGGACGCCACAGCCACGGCTGCGGCGCCTTGAATAAACGCCACAACCGTGGCTATGGCGTCCAGCCCAGGCGCCAGCCAACTGGTGGCGGCGTCTGCAGCTGGCGCCACCACCGCTGGCTGGGCGTCCAGCCAGGGCGCCCCACCGCCGTCACGGCGGTTTTTCCCTTTTTTTTTTAACAAAATGTACCTTTCCTCCTTGGGACATCCTTCCCTCCGCCGCCGCCGCCAATTCCTTGCCTTGCCGCCTCGACATTGCCGTTATTTGAAAGTTTTTTTTTTAGAGAGGTTGAAAGAAGATGAGCAATGAGAGTGTGAGTGATGAGAGTGTGAGTGTTTTTTTTTTAAGGTCAAGGGCAATTTTGGCAAACCAAGTGAATTTTGTGGGCTTTATGTAGTAATTTGTGGGCGATGTTTAACAAATCCCTAATATGAAGTTTGTATTGGAAATGATGGAACTAATCCTAATATCACGTCAACTCACATGGATGTTAATGTAAATTACAAACTAACTTAAATAAAAAGATTTGGGATGATATTCAAAGTTTTTTTTTTTTTTTTAAATATTCAAAGCTTAAGATTGAATCTCATTCTTTTCACTTACGCTCTATATTGTATAGAACTAAAATTACTCCGGACTCTATTATATAATAGTCTTAGTGATATTATGCATTTAAAATGATTTAAGCTATTCTATTAAAAGTAAAAGCTTGGAAACATTGAACCTAACATTATTAATTATATAATTCTCATGTAGCTAGCCATAACTAAAATATTCCACCGGAAAAAAAAAATTAAATTAAACGAAGATTGATGGTGGGGAATAGATGTAGATTTTATTTTATTTTTCCGTTCAAAACTCACATCATACTATTGCTTTCACTCAACACAATCCACTCTTACCTAATCCTCCCTGTGTCACCTTTTGTTTGCTCCATATAATTAAGTTCATTTTATTAAGTTATGATTGTATAAAGTTGATGGGAGAGAACTTGGTGAAACCAACAATATTGTTTGTGAGTAAAGGAGTGTACCTTTATGAATATTAAATACTGGTACTTTCATACCAACCATACTTTATATTATAAAATTCTCACTTTGGTTCTCATTTTCACACTATGTTTTTCCTTAAAATATAGACCAATGTGTTGCAATTAATCTGAAAAGGAGGGAGCATGAGAAAAAAGGACAAGGACGATTTCTCGTTCTAAGATACCAAACATGAACTTAATAAAGTATGTCACCATTAAAATTAGTCTGATTAATTCTATACTGCTTGAAAGATAATCACGCAACGAAAAGAATGACTTAAATAACTGAAATGGGATATTACATTTAACAGTTAATGGATACAGGTTGAATCAGCTCCTGATTGCACAATATTCACAAGGCTATCCAACCGAAACAAAGCAAATAGACTCGAGCTATACGTAACATACAACACCCACGTACACTCATGACAGTTGAGAAAATTCAGGAAATGGTGCGCCATTGATCTCCTATCACAATGTCATGCCAAACTATCTTTTCCACTGTTGTATTCTCTTGCTGAGCTTTATGGGCAGAAATTAGATATCAACCACTTCATACTTTTACAACAACTTGACGATCGAATCCTCATTCGAGTGACCAGCATCAGAAGGTCAAGGGAACAAAAGCCTAAGCAGGAAAATCACAAATCTCCTGAGAGCATCACAGGCTTCACCAAACAATTTATATTTTTGTACACTCTCCTAGTAAACACAATGCTAACAGCCGCCTCCACTCCCAACAGCTACTGTGTCGAATCAGATTTGCAAATGTCTCCACGACAAAGCGGACATACCCTGAGCAACAAAGAATACAGACGGATAAAGATGTGAGCATCCAAAAAAAGCATATTTTAAAAATGAACAATCCAACACACAAAAAGAGCAGCGACCAATTTGTGATGATAGTGTTAGAGCGAGCAACTTGATACTTGTAAGAGGTAGTACATGGAACAGCTTAACCACATCAACAGGGTTGACAGCTGACAAATGAGATTGTAAGAAAAATAATTTTTCTAAACATAGCACTTCTCTCCATTAATTTATCTATAATTCACCCATCATCTACCACACCACGTCAGTGAAAGATTTTCCACTGTTAAAGCTGCTACTATCCATGATTATTATGATGTGATTAGTAATTATCAAATCCACTCCGCCAATAAATTTTTACGGAATTACAGGAACAATCTGCTCCAGTCCGCTGTCTTCATAAATTTATGCAAAGCCGCTCTGACCAACACTCCAACCAGAAAAATCAATCTATTACAATCTTTGACAGGACAGGACCACTTAATTACATCAGCGGCCCAATTATTGGACTATTTTATGAGAGTTAGTAGTAGAACAATTCAAATTTGGAACAAAATTATTCAGGTGCAAGCCTCCAAGACAAGCAATCCTCACATGTGACAAAAAACTAATAAAACAGAGCATTTTCAAATCATGTGAGAATCATGACTGAATGTATTATAAAATTAAAGGTTTCACATTCTCACTTCTTTTACAATTTCTAATGTATAATGCAGCCACATTTGTGTCATTAACTGGTTTTTCTACAGTCAACTAAATTATTTTGAAAAATCTTTGGGATACAATCCCATCGTTCCCCATTTGGTTCATAATTGACTGTCCTAGATTGCAGATATTTTGGATGTTCACCAGCACCAAAACACAACTTTTATAGATGGCACAGATATAGAGCATCCCTTTGACTTGCATCCACTCCCCCCCCCCCCCTTGTTCTAGACATTTTTAGAAACCATGCATTACCCTTCAGTTCAAAAAACCCAGTGGTCAGCTCAAGAAGAGGGGGGTACAGCAATGTAATTTCCATGGGTTTATGCCAGTCTGTGGCCTGATCTTGCACAGTTTATACCGGTAACTGGTTCACTCCAGGCCAAGTCAACGAAGCTAGCTTTACCTTTCTCTACTGCACCTATATTACTTCTTCCTTATTCTCTTTGTCTTACCCAAAATCTGTGACATACATATTTTAAGCTTCTCATTACCTAGGAATAGGGATTCTTCATCTTTTCTAAATTAAGCAGCCCCAGAGGAGAATAGTGATGGAGATGTATTATGGTCTTCTCTTAATATTTGAGGGGGTTATCTTAAAACACAGTGGATACCAACTATGAGTAGCTTAGTTATTGAAGTCATGAGGAGGTGGTAGCCAAGACTTGGGCTCAGATTTGTGTAAATAAATCATAAAAACACACATATGGTCTGAATAATATCAGCTCATCATACTTGTATAAATATCCCCAACCATAGTAAGGGATGCAACACATGGCATGATGCTTGATAAAGATTACAGATTATGACATAAATCAATGCCTAGTATAAATTAGAATAAATACTACAACAGTTCCTTGCACAAAAAAAATAAAATAAAATTAGGGGGGAGGGGGGGGGGGGAGAATAGCAATTTGAACATGACTATTATTTCAAACCTCATATCAAAATCTAATATATCATATCATATCACTAATAAATAAAGTCGGTCTCGCAGCACACTTGGCATTCCAGTTTTTCGCCAAGTGTCACGCCACGTAGAAGATAAATAGGTATTATTGTGACACATATGATGCTAAGTAAACTATTTTTGGATAGGTTTTTTTAAGATAAAATTGTAGTATAGAGTTTTATTATCGATAGAATTCTAATATTTCATATATACAAAATTAATCATAAATTTTAATAAATTTCCTATAACTCAATTCTATTTCCATCATCAAATTCGTTTTAAAAAGTTCTTTAATAAGATCCATTTATAATATATTTAATCACAAACTTTTATACGTAGTTGGCCAAACCGTACCACCAACTATACAAGAGTTACTTCGTTAGTGTTATAGGGGTTACTTGAACAGTGTTTATAGTGGTTATCCTATAAGATAGGGGGTATTACTAGGGTTACTTAGCCAGTTTTTATAGTGGTTACGCTATCAGTGTTATAGATAGGGGTATTATAGGGGTTACTTGGCTTGTGTTTATACTTAGTTAGTGTTATGGGTTACTTAGTATAACAGGGTTACTCGGTCAGTTTTATAGGGGTAACTTTGTCCGGCCAAAAGGTGTGGCTAGCCGCATACAAAATGCGTTATTTAATTTATTTAAAAAGATATTAGAGAATCAGTAAAGTTTTAATCAGTAAAAATAATTTTAGTTGGTAAAAATACTTTCAATTCAGTAAAAATAATTTAAGTTCGATAAAAATAATTTTAAGTCAATAATAACATCGATATCTATTTACAAACAAAACTACAAAAAGTACACTATTATATAAATATAAGCCATATGATATCGTATGTCTAAATATCCAACATTATCAGAACGAATTATTTAACGGTATTTAACATTTAAGTATATATATATAAAGGGGAGTTTTTTCCCGAGATTTTAGCGCCACGTATGATTTTAATTTTAAAAAAATTATTAGAGCACCACATAGAATTAGTATTTTTAAAACGCTACAATAAGATTATGCCACGTAAAATAAGTTTTTTTAAAGCGCTGCGTAGGATTTTAATAAAAAAAAGTGCCACATAGGATTAATATTTTAAAACGCTACAATACGATTATGCCACGCAAGACAAGTTTTTTTAAAACGCTACGTAGGATCATAATAATAAATTAAAAAATCATCAGAGCGACACATAGATTATTATTTTTTTAAAATTATCATGAATAAAATTAAATAATTTATTTGGGTGATTGATGGAACCATTATGATAAAATTTTACAAAAAATAAATAAAGGAGAGTTTTTCTATTGTAGAGCATCACATAGAAAAATATTATATTTTAGCCAATAAAAAAAAGAAATTGCAATTTATTTTAGATCTAAAATTTATATTGATTATAATAACAAAATACAACACATTTTCCGTGTGGCTGGTCACATGGCCAACTAAAATATACCAAAACACTAACACCCTCGCTGTCCGAAAAACCCCTGATCGATCGAGTAACCCCTGACCACACGATGTGACCAGCCACATATGAAACTTGAAACTTTGTGAAATAAAATTAAAAAAATCAAGTATTAAGCAAATGAATATCACAAAGTTTAGTAGATAAATATATATTTAGTACCTCCTTCTGTTTTATAATGTTAGTCCCATATATTATTTTTGGTGTTTCAAAAATATCTACCCATGTTCCATTTTTAACTTAATTATTTTTGGAATTAATTAGTTGTGGATTGATGACATGGCTTTAAGTAATGAAATCTCTACCTTAAATTATGCATTATGACTTATGCTTTCCCAAAAAAAAAAATCAAAAAAACTTAAATAAGGTAAACTAATTATGAATTATGTAATGTTAGATTCCATATATTCTTCTTTTTCTTATTTTATGTGATTGATTCCAAATGGGACTAACATTATGAAACGAAGGGAGTAGAATATTTTATTTGAAAAAATACAAACAAACCGTGCTTTGCACGAGCTTCATCTAGTTGTTTATTAATAACACGTTCAGCATTTGCACATCAAAATTATTTCAAATTATTGAAGTTATATATATAAGGTCCAGATTTTATTCCTCCCCTTGTACCTTCCAAAATCTTAAGATTCTTAACTAACCCTCACCCCCTCCCTCACCAAACCCCAAAGGCAAAATTAACCCCCCCTCCCCCCTCTCCCTCAACACACATCATCATCAAGATGGCATGTCGAAGTCATTGACTATACCACAAACCATATAGAGCAATCGATCTACTCCAGATAGCCACTTCTAAAAAGAACAGCCCTTAATACTAGTCTCCTTATTTTAATCACCCACACAATCTTCCCTTGTGTGCTCTTTGCTCAACACCCAAATGTTTTACCGGCAACTGCAAGTGCCCAATGGTGAATAGGGAACGCCTTATCCCATTTCCTCACCGGTAATGAACCAAAGTCATGATCACGCTCAACTACACTCAAAGGATAATAGACAATTTACAGAGCATTTGAAATGTGAAATCAAGGATTCACAAGAATCCAATAGTTGGCAATAATGAATATATGATTTGTAAGTCTAAATTAGAATTTCCTTGGAACACAAACCTACCACTGCTAGATAAGAATAAAAAATCATTGCCGGCAATTTATAAAAGGCCAGCAAACCTACACAATCTTCCTTTTGAACCCCTCAAAAATATGTCTCCCCGTGTAACACATGAATTAAGTTGCCTTTATACTCAAAAAATCAGAAGCATCAGATGGTAATTTCTTGTATGCATAACTTGTTCATCCTATTTCTACATGTGCAGCAAAATTAGTCTTGTATGGTGCAGCTTTTGCAGGTTAAAAAATCTCGGCCTGAACAAGCTCATATTCATCAATGTATGAAATTCAATTGCAATCTACTGGTTGAATCTTATGGTTTGATTTTTATTTTTCCTAAAGCCCCCATCTAGAACAAGACCACCAAAAATACTGCAATCTCAGATGCGGCAGGCTTGGCCACTTCACAATTCAAACACCACTAACCCTGTTTTAGAATTTTATGAATATGAACAAGGGGCAAAGATAAGAATAACATAGATTTACCTATGAATTTCCTTCAGCCACTTGTCAACACACTTCTTATGAAACTCATGATGACAGGGCAATATACGCATGTCATCGCCTTCCTCGTACTCCAAAAGGCATATGTAACATCTGTTGAGGCAGTCAAAACTTCAAAATTAGATTGTTCTATTGCCACAGAATCTAACATGTTGAACTAGTTGAGAGAGAACACATAAAGCATGGTAGCATACTGAAGGACAAGGATATATATTTTTTCAAAAAAAAAAAAAAAAAAAAAAAAAAATAGCAAAACAAAACCAAAAAAAAATAATACAATGGAAAGTTGGAAACGATTCAAAAAAGCATTTGCAAAATTACCCCACAGCTGAAAGAAAGAACCATAAATGAGAGGAAAACAAAAAACCCTACCAAACCTCAAAACCACATCCTACAAGTAAATAAGGCTAGACTTCTACCATAGCAATATTATGGTAGATGTAAAACATTGACACATTGCCTAACATAGATTTAAAAAAATAAATAATTAAAGATGCATGCAAAAATAAAACTACAAGGGTGCAAGTAGAATAAGGACAAAACAACTATGTTGCACACAACTGTTTCCCCACATTGCCTAGAAGGGCTACAACTACTTCAAAAAAATAATTTGAAATGGCCCTCTCATCTATTATAAGTTTAAATTTACCCAGAAAAGTTCGTGATTGTGAGCCAAAGTAGAAAAATGGTTAAATGGAGTAATAAATGCAGCAGTGCAATATTTTCTACAACATACAAGGTGGGTTATCAATCATTCTCCTTCAAATAGGATTCAGACTTACTGTGCAACCTCCTCGCTCTGAGTTTTTGTTGACTTAATGTATGCTTTTACAGGTAAGGATTCTACAACTTCGTTTGGTGCTGGAACTGATCCAATCGAAGATACAGAAGGTCGGGAGGATAACACCACTGATTGCTGGTGAATTTCATCCAGAACCTAGTTAATTAAGTACAAAGTATTAAACAATCAACTGATTCTAAAATGGCAATTGAGAAAAAAATAATAAATGGGCTCTATTGGCACAAAGGAATGGAAGTGAAACATCTTAACAATACCTCAAACAGAGCCTCGGCTAGCATAACAATTCTCGATATACTAGCTCGAGCACCATCATTATTTGAATTAGAATCTCTGGTACTGATGCGACAAGAACAACGACCAGTACGATGCTGCCCTGACAGAATACAATACCTTTCATGCCCTGATAGATTCTCAAAACGACTACCCAAACGCTGAAGAGCCCGTACCTGAAAATGTTTACATCATTAAAAGGTGGATAAAAAAAAAAGGAACATGTTGGTTGACTTGACATTGTTGAATGATAATTTACACTATCCCTAAACCATATTCCAGTTGGATCATACACAACATACAGAAAACTAGAATCTAGCAATAGGCATGAAATAATTAGAAGCTAAGTTACATAACAGCACAACCTAAGTTTATTTTGCCAAGATATTTTATAAGTAGAAAAGCTAGGTAGTTGAATTCCAAAGGTAAGCGAGCAGCTTTACTAATCGCCATCTAGCAATAGAATATAAACAGACCTGAGACCTAATTCTTCTTCTTCGCTCCAAGAAATTAGATCTATGCTCCAGTGAATCATGATGCCTGCCTTCACTAAGGTTTGATGTCTCAACATCATGATTTTGGCTCACAAAATAGGAGTTAGGCATGTTGGGCAACGGATATGGAGAAGACACCAGAGAGTTAACAGGATTTCCATCAGAAGCAGTACCTCTCTCCTGTGGCAAAGGAGAAAGAGTCAAGTCTGAAAATGATGATCTTCGTAGAACTCTATCACGGAGCCTTCCCACACTTAAAGTTCTACTAAATCGAACATTGCGGTCTGCTGGTTCTCGAGCACCGTTTCGACGATCCCCTATTCTCCTGTTCAAACCCTCCACATCCATATGACTTTCAAGAGAAGGTAAATGGTCATCTGGCCTACTTCTCTCACTATCATCATCCACCAGATCTTGTGCAGAAATGACCTCATTATCTTGCAAAGGGCCAGACAAAATAGAATTTTCAGGGTGCCGAACTAGATTTATAGAAGCATCACCATGAGATCCGACCGAGGTACTGGTGAACAGAGAATTCAGATTGCTATTATGTTGATTCACATTACTGTTAATTAAGCGGCGGGGAAAACCTCCTTGCAGATGAAGGTCTTCTTCACCACTTGAAATGGCGAAGCTTGTGGGGGAAGAAGGATCAGCTCTTGATGAGCCTACACTGGCAGCTCTGCTGAGTCGAAAACTAACACTACCGGGAACAAAGCTGAAGCGAGATAAAAATCGGCTCGAATGATTCAAAGATTGGCCAGAGAAAGCTTGAGATGAACTTCCATCAGCCCTGCTGCCTGCTCCAATCGCATGATCCCATTCACCAAGCTCAATATTAGAAGATACACAGGACATGTTATCAGGCCCGTCAACTTTAGATGTTTGGTAGCACTGAACTTTCACTTCATCAGAATCTGGTCCAAGTCGCGGCAATCTTGTCCGATTAGCTTCACCATTATGCTCTATAACCTGTAGGTACAATCATTCCATAAGCTGAATGCATCTAAAAAAGTGACATGAGAACATATATTCAGACTTGGCATTAACAGTCCACAAAGTATGATTACAATATATGGCTTCTCCAACTATAAACATTTGGGAGGCAGGACAATCAACTGAACCAATAAGGCAATACCTCATTATTAGAATAGATAACCTTATCATTCCAAATAGAATGACACAAATTTTCTAACAGCAGCTCAAAGCCTCGAAGATGTAACTTCTTATCTAGCACTACATGTTAGGATGGTTTCAGTTAATCAGACTAGATCACATACAAATTACTGTTGAGCATCTTGCAACACTCCAAAGGAAATGTAAGGCCCTTGTAAATGTATTAGTAAGTTGTCATTTTCCTAATCCTTAAAGGAAATAATTTGAGACATTCAGGTACATTTAAAATTAAAGAATTAAAAGGTTGAACTGTTAAGTCCCACAAGGAGTTGCACATTCCTTCAATGAATGTCAGTATACCTATCATTTACATGTTAAACCTGGTGTTTTCAGTCTAGTAATCCCTGCATTCACATCAATAACACCATCAAGAACCAGTGAATCATCTCACACACTCTGAAAGTCTGAACAACCATGGATGTGAGAAAACCTTACAAGTAAGTTTGATCAGTGAAAATCCATATTAACATTTGTGAGACCTTTAATAATAGGGGATAGTTGGATACTCAAAGAGTACTATGCATCTCCAACACCTTCACTGCCATTTCACACCTAACTTGAAGTCCCAACAATCACATTGCTCAAACCTTATTGCAATCCTTCCCACATACTGGTGACTTGAAAAAGTTAAAATTTTTAATAAAATTCTTATAAAATGCTTTCTAAATAATTTAAACATGCTTTGTACAGGATTTGATCTTGTGACCTCGAGTTTATACAGTAATGTGTTCAACACTATACCAAGCAATATATTGACCAGGCATCACCCAGACCTACAAACTAGTTCTTTTATAAAACAATGAATTGCAATATTAAAATTTCTAGCTGTAATTCAGACTTTCAGTTCATTGATACATACTCACCCCTGTCCACAAAGGTGATAAGGATGTCTAAAACATTCAGAACAAACTTGAATATGCAGGATGTGATCACCACAATGTACACACTTTGCATAAAAGTGCACGAAGGGTTGCCTTGGCAAAGGAATAATTAGTCAGAGTACACTTCATATTCATACTAACAGATTTTATGTTACTGTTTGACAACCTATACAACTACATCACCAATGATGATGCCTATAGATCAAGAAAAGAACATGATCCTCTGTAAAAGTGACTCAAATGAGTAACAAGAACAAATAAAGAAAATTGGTAAATATGGAAACCAGAAACTCCAAATTATAAATGGTCATTTAGCAGCTGTGATACTACATTTATCAACATAGCCCTCATGTGAAGACGGATTCAGGCAAAAAGCCCTTAGGAGTTAGGACAGGTGAGGAATTAACATACTAACACCACAGAGGATAGTAAGAACCAACACTATAATTCAGCTACTTCTTCCTATTAAACTCCATTTTTCCAATAGAAAACTTATAATATAAAGCAACTCTCTTCTGAAACATTTTGGGGAAGGTGGGTGGGGGGACCTCATACAGTGCTCAATAATACCATAGTCTATAATTGGATTAACCTTTAAACTTTTATATTTTGTGGGGCGCAACACTATCCTTTCAAGATTAAATCCATCATAAGGGTCAGATATACTACTCCTTCCTCCCAAACATAACAATGCCTTCCACCTTAATAAGCTGCAACTATTAACATCGAACCGATAAGCATTCATTCTGTCTATCAAACCCGAAACAACCCCCCCTTAAACATCATTGCTCATTCCACCTCTTGCACACCAAAACCAATAAAAACACGAAATCGTTACCCCTTACAATCTACAATCAATACCAAAATACACTACATTTTCAGCAACAATGTGTCAAAGACAGCACAATGCACATCAAGTTCCAAAAATACCATAACTTTAATAATCAATCACGGCGTTACATCCACATAAACCAATATTCAAATTCAAAGATATAAGATAAAGAACCATAAAATTACAAACCCTTAATTATAATGTGATTAACGATTACCAATGAAAACTAATCACCTGATCATCATCATTATCATTATCATTATCATTATCATCATCATCACTTTCATAAGCTCTCGACGACGATCCAAGACAAGGAGAACTAAAAACTCCTCGATTCTTACCCCTTCTTCTACCACCAACTACCGCTGATGAAAACGACGACGTAGAAGAAGCAAAAGACGCAACACTACCCTCACTACGACGCGTTTTACTACTCCCGGATCCCATCTTCCTCCTCCCCACCACCCCCAAATCCACCAATCACAACAACATCATATAAAAAAAACCCTAATCGCAGAAAACAACACCCCACATTTTGAAATCAAAATCAAATCAATACCCACCTCAGATCTATCAAGAATAATCAATAATCAATTATTCAACATAATTCCAATTAAATAAAAGGTTTGCTTGAATTCTGGGTCAGTTCAAAATAATAGTAATAATGTAGTAGGAGAGAGAAAGAGAAAGAGGAGAGAGAGTGAAAGTAAGTGAAAGCGTGAAAAGGAGAGAAATGAAGCTTTTAAGAAAAGAACATGGCGTTTTTGTTGATGTTGCTAGTGATGAAGCCCTATTTTTAGGGCGGATATTTCGATTAAACTGTGTTCGTGTTTATGTTTGGGTTTTGATGGGGTTGGTTTTATGTCTGCACAAATATTATCATGGGGTCCATGTCCTTTTCTTGCTCCCTTCGAACTTCCGAGTGTCTTTGCTCTTGTCCTAATGTAATCCCAATTTTTATTTATAATTATTGTTTTTTGTTTTCTTTAATTAGGTGTAATGGAATTGAAGAGTTTTTCAATTTTAAAATTTGAAATGTTCAATAATGGTGTCTTGATTTGATTATGAGCATTAGTATAAGTTTGTTTTGCGCCGTTAAAAGGAACTAATCTATTTTGACATGACTACACGCAATTCTCATTTCTGTTGACATGGGTACGTGCAAATTTCGTAAAATTGTTGTCATTGTAACGAATACTCCGTATTATCATCAACAAGGATGTCAAGAGAAGTTCTCCCATCACGTGGACAAATATTAACTAAATTCAAAGCATTACACTCCAACTAGTGGCGGATCTAGGATTTAACGGATAGTGTGTCACCAATGTTTACCGACCACATATAATTCAATAACAAAGGCATGGATAAATATATAAATTGAGACTTATAGCTCACAACTTTTCATATTCATGATAATATCCAAGCTAATACTCCGTATCTAAAAACAAATTTGAAATATCCCACATATATTTGTTTTTTCATGAAATTTAAGTCTCAATGTGAATTAGATAAAGCAATATACTTTGTCCAACTATAAAAACTTGAATCATTCAATCAATTACATAAAATTAATAATGCATCGTAATATATATACTAATTTCTATTAAAAAAAATATAATTAACTGCAACTATCAATTGATAAACAATAACAATTTCAATGCCAATCATTTTTTTTCGTATCAATTGAAAATTAATAATTGAGAAATTTACCGTCAATAAAATCAACTCTAATCATCAAACAAGAACAATACCTTATACTCTCTGAATGAAAAGAACAGTAAACGAACAACAAATAATAATTCAACAAAAAGTAATAATTCAACAGAAATAAGCAAGTAGATTGACTACTTAATTTGAAAGGAGAGGAAAGAAGGAATACCCCTCTTAGCCTCTTCTCCCAACACCACCTTGAGTCCATGACCCCCATCCCCTCGTTCACAGCACCGCCGCCGCTGAAACCGCCATACATCCACCGCGAACTTCTGTAAAAGCTACGACTTTTGTGGTAAGGTTCTTCTCCATTATTTCACTTATAAACTAGAGTTCTTTCTCTTCCTTAAATTTAATTTAAATCTGTAATTTCATCAATAATCTATCATCACTCTCATACCTGAATTTTAATCTTCGTTTAATAAATTATTTAGCTTCGTACTATTTATTCATATCTTCTCCCTTGTTTTTTTTTCCTTTTAGAAACTTCAATTCTTGAAATGACTTTTTATCTTATACTTGTATGAAATATGAATTGGTGTTCATTATAAATCATTAAAAATGGGTTTTACTGACTTGGTAAATTGACTTGGTGAATTGGCATGGTGAAAGGAGAGAGAAAGCAAAAGAGGGGTATTGAACTATTGATTATTAGTTTGGGGAATTGAAAATGTTTTTGGCAATTTGTGAGTGAGATGGAACCGAGATAAATAAAAGATGAAATATTTATATTTTAATTTATTGGAGGTCTAAACTGAGTTGTACAATAATTTTTTTCCAAAAAAAATAGTGTGTCCTGTGACCCACTATGACAATAAGTGAGTCCGCCCCAAACTCCAACTCAGCTTGATGAAAGACGTACCTTTCTGCCAAGTTGTAGCAAACATCCACATGAATCTCACTAAGAAGAAGGAAGAAATATCATCTTATATGTATTTAACAAATAAACAGTGATCCAAACTTGTCGCATAGTTGAGCAATTGAAAATTAAATTACACTATAATTGATGCACGCTCACTATTACACAACCCACATTGTGCATCATTGAAAACGTGTATGTCTCTCGGCATACCTTCCCAGTGTTGATGAGGATTTACTAAGTTTCAAGGAGCACCAATATTACTTTCATACATCGTTTCTAACTCTAGCAAGATGCATTCTTGAGCACGAACAAGACCCAACCAGCCAAACCAATAACCCATTTAGGCCCTGTTCTTTAGAGTTGCTTTGCTCTGCTGAAATCTGCTCTACTCTGTTAAAATCTGTTCTGCTCTGCTTAAAACTAATAATAATAATAATTAAAATTTAATAAAAATAAAAATAATTAATATTTATTAATAATAACTAATATTTATAGATAATAATTAATATTTAATAATTATTATTATTATTATTTTATAATAATAATAATAAGAATTAATATATAATATTAAATGATAATAATAAATAATATTTAATGGTAATAATTAATATGTTATATTATTTAACACATTTTCTAATGTTATAAAAGGAGTAAAAAAATCTAACAAAATAATAATAATAATAATAATAATATTAAAACTAATAATAATAATAGTAGTAGTAGTAGTAAGAGTAATAATAATAATAATAATAATAATAATAATAATAATAATAATAATAATAATGATGGTGATGATGATGTTTAATGATAATAATGCGATAATAATAATAACAATACTAATAATAATATTAATAATAATGATAATAATAATAATATTAAAACTAATAATAATAGTAGTAGTAATAATAATAATAATAATAATAACAATAATAATAATAACAATAATAATAATAATAACAATAATAATAATAATAATTAATAATAATAATAATACTGAAATCTGCTCTACTCTGCCCTGCTTTGCTCTGCTCTGCTGAAATGTGCTCTGCTCTGCCCAGAAGCTCCCAAAAGAACAGGACCTTAGTCATATAAATAAACACTATCTAGGGTTGGTTACCAATATTTCATATCAATCAATGTTGATCATTATAAAATTGTCCATTACTAAATGATCGTATAAATTTCAATGCATAACTTCGCCAATGGCCTTAGAAACACCTAAAATATTTAATCAATGCATAAGTGGTTGATGCTTTTAGCATTTCGCAAAGATATTAGTCTCTTTAAAATCAAAGACACCAATTCTTACAAACTAGTGCCTTTAATGCCCTTTTTTCACTATTTCCCTTAAATGCATGCATACACTTATATATATAAACTTAGATATAGTGTTACATTAGTAATGCTTATCATATTCAATTAAAGAACTTCATTTGGTCGATAGAATAAATTAACCAAATAAAAAATAATTGTTGAGCCCTACACCCTAGTGTAGGGCCTTCTACCTACACCCCCATGTAAAATGGTACCGTCTAGCCTCTCACTAACTCCTCACTTCCCATATACCCACTTGCTATAGTAACAATCCATACCCCACATACTGCCAAAAAAAAATAACCACCTTTCAAATTCTCTCTCTTCATCCTTTTCATTTTATTTTCCCATTTTCTCTCACATCAAAATCTTCATTATTTGCAAATAAATTCCAATAAAAAGTTAAAATTCTCTACAATAATCAAGCACAATGTCTAATATATGAGAAGAATTTGCACAATTGTTGGAAAAATCACCAAAACAAAGTCGAAAATCGAAATTGTAAGTGTTTTTGTTGAGTTTTGAAATGAAAAACAAGTATAATCCTAGTTTTTTTACTTGTTTTTCTTGCAATTGTGTTTTCATGAAAATAATAATAATAATAATAATAATAATAATAATAATAATAATAATAATAATAATAACAACAACAACAATAATAATAATATTAATCATAATAATAATAATGATGATGATGATGATAATAATAATAATAATGCTCATGTTTATAACAAAAATTACTTAATATAAAATATATACATATAAAATATTCCATTTGAGTGTGTATGAAAAAAATATATATAATCGCCATAATGGAAGGAGAATATTAAAGGGTTTAGATATCTTTCATAAAGTATTGACAAAAAAAATAAAAAAAGGAAGAAAAATTGAGGGTGTTATGAAAATAAGGAGAAAGGGAGAATATTAGATATAGATGTAGATGGTAAATCCTTGTTCTTGTTTTTTATCCATTTCATTAGACCATCTATATATATACACAATGTGAACAGTGTAACCTATATGGACAATAAAGAGTCCATTCATGAGGGGGTTACAATGTGAACTAATGACATATGAGGGTTACAAGGAAGTTACAAAGGTAGTCATATTATTGAGGGAGTTACAAACTATAATGGGCATACACAATTATTATATTTTGTAACACTCCCCCTTGGATGCCCATTATCTAAAAGAGATTTAATGTGCTTATATACTGCCTCATTAAAAACCTTTCCAGGAAAAACCCACTGGGAAAAAACCATGGATAAGGGAAAAAGAGTGCAGCACGCAATTACTCCCCCTCATTATTATGTCACTGAAGATCTTTGAGACGGCGCAATCCAATACGATAAACTAATTTTTTAAATGTTGCGGTTGGGAGAGCCTTAGTGAATAAGTCTACTAAATTCTCACTTGAACGAATATGCAAAACATTTATATCTCCATTCTTCTGAAGATCATGAGTGAAGAAAAATTTGGGTGAGATGTGCTTTTTTCTGTCGCCTTTAATGTATCCTTCCTTAAGTTGCGCAATACAAGCTGCATTATCCTCATATAAAGTTGTCAGTGCCTCTTTCCCGGATGATAAACCGCAAACGTCTTTTATATGTTGGATTACCGACCTTAACCATGCACATTCACGACTAGCTTCGTGAATTGCTAATATCTCAGAATGATTGGAAGAAGTAGCTGCAATGGTTTGTTTCATGGAAAGCCAAGAAATGGAAGTGCCACCGTATGTGAACACATATCCAGTTTGTGATCGAGCATTATGTGGATCAGACAAATAACCTGCATCTGCAAAACCAACCAAATTTTCTTTGGACAATTTAGGGAAAAATAAACCCATATCCTTCATACCTTAAAGGTAACGAAGTATATGTTTAATCCCATTCCAATGCCTTCGGGTTGGTCATGAACTAAATCTTGCCAATAAATTAACTGAAAATGATATGTCGGGTCGTGTATGACTTGCAAGGTACATTAATGCTCCAATTGCACTAAGGTATGGTACTTCAGGACCAAGAAATTCCTCATCATCTTCCCGAGGTTGAAAAAGATCCTTCTCTACATCAAGGGATCTTACAACCATAGGGCTGCCCAATGGATGCACTGTATCCATAGTAAATCTTTTAAGAACT